TAATGAGTGTATGACCCCCTTGTATAAGGTTACCCTTGCTAGCCTTATTCATACTTCTGGTTAAGCATGAGTCATGTCTCTTGAGGCGAAACAAGTACCGTAACGAATGTCCTGGGGCAGTCTGACAGTAAGTTATCTAAGAAGGCCCGATGGTCAGATTTAATGACACAATTCTAAAAGTTATATGACATACCTCGTCTCCGCCGATATGCTAGGCATTGGAAAGGCACTGAAGACCATCGAAGTGACAGTTGGGGCATTTGTCCCATTGGTTGTTGCCGGTGCTGCGATTTTTATAGTGATTGCAGGCACACTGAGTTCCCGCAGTGTCGATCTCTTATTCCGTCCATGAGCCGTAAGTGATGCCGTAGGGAGTCCCATTCCCGGTGCTGCCACGCTGCCTGTTCTTAACGCAGACAGCTGCGTTATGCATCTTTGCAAAAGCGCTGAAGTCGAGTTAGCGATGGGGCATGAATGATTAATTGCCTAACGGCTGTGTGTACATAAACCGTGGCAAAGACGGCAAAAGTCGCAAACGTGGAGATTTGCATCTTGACGTTTGTAAAAGAAATTGAAGTAAGATAATAGTGAGTAATGGACTAAGGGGAACACTCGTTTAACCACAAGTGAAGAATTTGATGAAGAGATTTGCTCTGAGAGTGATTTGATCTCTTTCCAGCACAACAGCAAAACCACAGGTTGAAGTATCTCTGCGGTCTGTTATCCTAGGATGAGGGAGAGTGAATGATGGTGGCTCTCCAAAGATCATGAGGTTGGAATATCGTATATCATGGTCAAATTCCCTTTCCGCCTCAGGGAGTTTGTAATCTATCAGATACTGTCTAGTGAAAGTATTACTCGCTCATCCAGCCGTTGAACTCCACGAATTTGGTCCCCAAGACGAATCGATGTGTAGATGGTTGCTTGATCTATCAGAAAGAAGCTTAGTGGTTGCGGTTTCCTTCTCGTGACGGCTGCTGAGTCGTGTTGTACTGGAAATTGCTAAACTCGATTAAGCAGGTAATTCACCTGTGTATGAGAACAGCACTCCAGCGGTAATTACACGAGACATCACGTCTTGACACCACATGGGTAGGTAAAACTCCACCTGGCCGTTAGGGCACTTAGCAACCATATGTTGGACTAGGCCTACAGGGACCATGCCTGACTAGTGACAGACGTTCGGATGAGCACAACCGCGCTCCCGTGGATTCAACGATCATGATGAGAATGCTGCCAGTAGTTCACCAGCCGATCAGAGAGTATTGCATGAGTCGGTAAGAAGAAGAATACATACCATTCCAAGAATATATATAAAGCCTCGGAATAATCCCACAAAGAGTCATTTGCTATTTCCAACTCTCCTCATGTCCTCATCTACTCGCGTGTGATACTTCTCCGTCGTTTCCCTTAAGATGGTTTCTATATGGATTCCCTTCCTCTCTGCATTGGCTGCCGCAGTCAGCGCTGCGCCAACCGCCATTGCTGACAACAATTATGGTGCCCTTAACATCACCGATACCTTAGATCGCAATCTTCGCAACGGAGAGATTGTCGTTTTTGGAACGAGTGGTCGAATCACGCAACTCAATCTGTGGTAAATAAGGCGTAATTGCCGGCCAGCAATTACGCCTTATTTACCACACAATCTGAATCGTTGATTTACCATGCTAACTTTTCAATTTGTTTTGAGGCTGCCATCATCACCCAGAACACTTGGGAACTCCTGTTGAAGGTCGAGGGTATTGAGGCCGAGACTCCAGACATTGATCATGATTTCCTTAGGTCTGGTGATGAGTTCTCGGAGATATCCGTGAACCACACCAGTCTCGCCCTTGAAAAACGTGACTGCAATAGCAACTATCAGGCCGTAGTTGATCGCACTCAGCGCTTTGTTGACTGGGATGTCCAAATGTCCCCTGTTGTCATCGGTGCTGGCAGTAAGGGTATTGACATTACCATTTCCAAGTCATACTCCATTGCGAACAGTGTCCAGGTTTGCGCTGGCATTGATCTGGGTCTCATCAAGGACCGACTCAAGACTAGCTTTGGGATCAACTACTCGCGTACTTGGACGACGGGCCGGGGCTACCTCATTCGCGGCACCGTTGATGATGGTTACACTGGTGTCGTTATCACTCGCTCCGGGACTAACCGCAAATACGGCCGCACCTTCCAGGGTTGCATTGGAAGCCTCCGACAGACTGGAACTTTTATGGCTGACAGCCACGAGGTGCGCGAATCCTTGCGTTGTAATAGTATTGACCGAGGCTAATTACTCTATCGCAGAATGGCTCCTACGAGGGCGTTACTTGGGTCGCTGGCGCCATTACTGCCTGCATCAAGAGGCAGAGCTCTATCCCATTGTCCCGGTGTAATGGTAGCGGCAACTTCCGATAATCATTTTGGTGCTGTCTTTCGGAAGAGTTACGTTCACTGAACTGGTCTGTGTCGCAGTCACTCAACCTAATGACGTCCTCCACTGTGGTCTGCGTCATGGTGCCTCAAAAAACATACTGGGAGGGATTGATAGATCGTGTCCAATGTACATACACGAAAAGTTCGGGCTGGGCCTTTCGACTTTCATTTGAATGTAACAAACACTGAATTCTGTTGGCTGTTAGTGGATAGCTACTATAATTAGTGCCAACATTGTTTGGCTGGAATGCTTCTATAAACGCACCTACCCTTTGACTAAATGACCTACTTATGATCGGGGGCTTTTAAGAGCCCGTTGTCGGAGTCAACATGGCGTAAGCAGCATTGAAATTTGTAGGGGGCTTCTATACGGCTTGCGCCATCGCGATAAGTAGCTACTCGCAACTTCCCTAACTAATCTACGTAGGTAAGTAAGCCTGGGGTACGTTTATCTGGGAGAAAATCTTGCTCTACATACTCTCGTATCTAACATAGGCAGACTATCGGACGTCTAGTATCTAGGCACTCTCGATGCGTTCATGATACCGGCCTCCTCGAGACGCAGACAAATAACATCGCCCCGGTCTTATCTGAAGCCATCCATTTCATTAAGACGCAAGTCTTAGATGAAAGATCGCGGCATCGTGACATTGTCAGCTGAGGGCGGAGCAAGGTCGAGCAGTCTCTGGTCTTACTACGTAGTTCATCGCTGCATCTTTGCGAATGCTATCAGACCCATACTTGAATCGAACCAGCATTACACCGGCAATGCCTTGTGCCGATGTCAACCGCCCAGAGCTTATCGTAGGACCATGATCGGCAAGCAGGCTGGTCTGAGTCCCGTTTCATTTTGAGGCCACGTACCAATAGCATCGCCATAGGACGCTAGAGACAGTCCATAGATGGGGAACTATCTTTCCGCGGGAAAGTTCGCCGAATGCCGGGTAAGTTGTGCGGGAAACCTTTAATCAGCACATCATCTAATGGTTTCGTCCGGAAAACTCGCACGCCTCAGGAGCCAATTACAGGGGCATGTGGAATATTACATTACAAGGTGATGAAAAAGATTGTCGGAACATGGGGCAATCATTTCGGTTTGTTACGGCAAGAGTAAGGGTGATGAATACGAAGAAATTCACACTAGTAATCTTGCGTGTTAGAGGATTCTGTCTGGCGAATTCTTTAAAAGATGCTATATAGCGGTCATAGAATTGCAACAGTCAAGCTTTCAGGGTTTCAATCTCATTGGGCTTTCTTTGAGTGGCCCTAAACTTTCCTGTCTCGTTTTGTTATTCATCCTATCACATCTTAACATGGCTAAAGCCAGTCCTGTATTTGTCACGGCTGGCTCGGGAAACAACGAGCCGAAAGATAAGTTAACCTACGAAAGCATTAGGCCTTCTCGATCCATTATATTTGATACGTCCGACGAAGAAACCGACACTAAGAAATTGGCAAGAGATTACCTCTGCGTTGGGTATGAGAACAAGTTTAATGGACCGCCCCCCGACGGCGGCGTCAAGGCCTGGACACAGGCTCTCATGGCCCATTTTGTTGTTTTCAATACTTGGGGAACAATTAACTCTTTTGGTATTTTTCAAACATTCTATCGAGATTATCTTTCTCGGTCGGCTTCTGAAATTAGCTGGATTGGTTCTATGCAAGTCTTTTTTCTTTTCGTCGTTAGTGTATTTACCGGGCGTCTCACCGATGCTGGATATTTTCGAGCAGTCTTTGCCTCAGGATCTACGCTGGTGGTACTGGGAAGCTTGACCGCATCGTTCTCGAATCAGTATTGGCAACTATTCTTATCCCAAGGGCTTTGCGTGGGACTTGGCATGGGAGGTTTGTTTTGCCCTGTTATAGCTGTGTTGTTGACATACTTCAGCAGGCGTAGAAACCTCGCTATCGGAGTTGCTATTAGTGGCTTAGCTACTAGAGGGATGATTTATCCCATTATTACACGCTAGCTTTTACCTATGATTAGATTCAGTTGGATAATGCGTGTCATAGCACTGATCTAACTTATCACTCTCTTAATTACTAACTTCTCGATACGATCTAGAATACGACCGAGGCGGTCCGGTTCGGTAATTAAGTTTTCCGCTTTTATAGAGAAGGCTTATCTTCTTTTTACGATTAGTATATTTTTTATAAGTTAATCCTAATTTAATCTTCGTGTATTACTAATATCTTTAGAACTTCTGGGGCGTCTATTTTGCGTTTTATTAGTATATTAGATAGCTAAAGCTGCTTTATCTCCTGTACCTTACTAAAGCTAACAGACTATATAGTATTAGTCTATTTAGTCGTAATAGGCTTTTATTTTCGTATAATAGTTCGATTAATATTCTTATAGTTATAAATAGGGTCGGCGCGATCGGTCGTGTGATTCCTAGCTTACTTATAGACCTCTATTTAGGGCCATTAAATGTTATTATTCCGGCCGCGGCTATTTATATAACTCTTTTATTCTATTAGATAGTAATCCAGAGTTCTACTACCTTATATACTTAGGCTATGTTTTATAGTAAGTTACCCATTCCTTTCTATGTCCACTATTTAAGGATTCTAGACAAACAATCCCCGCTTTAACAAAACTAACTATTCTTTTTACACCTCTAGGTATCTTTAGGGCTATAGTTTAGGGCCTCTTCCCAGCAGCATTGTCATTATTAACAACCGATCTTCAAAAAGCAGGCACAAGGATAGGAATGGTCTATACAATTATTAGTTTCGCAAACTTAACCGGCCCTCCACTAGCCGGACTTCTAATCAAGGCCGGTGAGGGTCGGTATATTTATACGTTTATATTTAGAGGGCTATGTCTGGCTCTAGGTACATCATTCTTAGTCGCCTCTCGTATTACTAAAGGAGGCTAGGGGTTAGCAAAAGTCTAAGTAATTAAAACCGTAGTACATTTTACATAGGGCATATTATTTTTTTATCTTTTAAGAATTTTTAAAATATATAAATCTTAAAGACCCTTTAGGGTCCGGTCCGCCTTATTAGGGGCCATTTTTACTTTTTTAAATAAGCTAGTTTGCCGTTAATCCGTAATTATAAACTTTATAAGAGGGAAAGTTTAAAAAAGTAAAAAATCTAAAAGAAAATAGTCTAACGAGACAGTAGGAGTATTCACTAATACTATGTGTTAATACTATATAGCTAATATTAAGAATCGCCCGAGCAGCTAGTAAAAGTAAAAATAAAAAACAAATAAGCTAGTTTATTAAAGTTAATATTAAGTATTTTTATTATATATTTTAATAAAACTTTATAACTAATTATAACTAGCTATAGCTATTATTAAGTAGCTATTAATACTAACTAAACTTAAAATACTAACGACCTTATTATAATATTATAAATTACTTTCTAAATAACTAATATTACCCCTTACTTTCTCTTTTTATTATATTTAATAATAACCTCTCCTTATTAATATTCCTATTTAATATACTTATTTATACTCTTTTTAAGCTCTTAATTATATTATTAAGTTTAGGCTTATTTATATTATTTTATTATATTAAAAAGGTATTAATAAAAGTAATACTTATTATAATATATTTATTTATTTTTTATAAATTGATATTATTAATATTTAATTTTATATTCTACCTTTACTAATTACTCGGGCGGTTTTCGATATTAATTATATAATATTAATATATAGTATTAATATAGTGGTTTTTTTCCAGCTTTATAAGTACAAAAGATCGACCTTAACAGGATCACGCTTTTAAAAAAAATTATACAATACAGTATACTTTTTAACTATATAATATACGTAATATATCCTTAGTACGCGCTTAACGTAATATAATAATTTCGATATAAAAACCGCTATTTAATTTAGAATAAGTAAGCTACTATAATAGCGCTAGTTAAAAAGATTAATAATAAAGGTCAGCCGTAATAATTAGCTATAATAGTTAGTTATAATAATTAAAAGCGGCCTTTTTTAATTATAAAGGTTCTAAACTTTAATAATAACATAGAGGTTTTTAAAAAAAAAAGGGCTAAATAGGTTAATATTTATTATTTTATCGTACTAAAGCTTATAAAGATTTTTTTTATCCCTATCGCTTCTAATATTACCTAAAGCTACTCTCTATTTAAACTAAATAAATTTACTAAATAAATTTACTAACTAAATCTACTAAATAAATCTACTAAATAAACTTATTAATATATTAACTACTACCTTAATAAGAACCTAAAAACACTTATTAATAAGTCTACCCCTCTTAAACTAGGCGCCCTCTTTAACTAACTTAATATTATAGCTATTATAACTAATATAAATATACTTAAGGATTAGTAAAATACTTTTTAATAATACGGAATTTAACTAAGTAATATTATAAATATTATAAATAACTAGGTTAATATAAATATTAAAATTTAATATATCGATACTAGCCTAGTTATAATAATTATAATAAACGGGCTAGAAGTATATAAAATTAAAATAATAAATTAGTATTTTAAATAGCTCTTATAAAACTCCCTAAATAATAATAATACTTATATAAAAAAATAGATTATATTAGACCTAGCTACTTATATAAGCTAGTATTAAGAGGTTTTATATATATTAAAATAAGTAAAGCTCGCCCTATAAGCGGGCGGTAAAAAGTTAGGAGTTTTAATTAGTAATTAGGTATAGAACGTATTATACCTAGTTTTTCTTAATACGTAATATACGGTACGGCCCCGGTAAATTGCTCTATCGGGGGGAATATAAGCTTTATATTAAAGTAATTATTTATAAATAGTTATGTATTTTATAATATATTAGCTAGGAGCTTAGTAATAAGGTTATACTACTTTTTAAAATTACTAATTTTATAAAATTAGCTAATATTAAGGTAATTACTTTTTAAAAAGGGAGATAATAGTAATTAGCTAAATAATAATAAGAGGCCGTAATTAATTAATAATCGCTTTTATAAAAAGGGAAGTCTTTTCATAAGGGTATTATTTTAAAATTAGCCTTAAAAAACGTTTTTAACTCTAATTATAAAAACTATTATAAATAAATATTATAAATTAAATTTCAAAGCTTAATAATATAACTTAAGTATAAAGGGAGTAAAGAAATAAAAACTTAGGATATTTTATAAGTATTTAATAGAATTTAACTATATTAATATTTTTTTAAACTAATTAAAAAATAAAATAGCAACGCCTATATAAGAGCGATGCTTATATATTAATTTATAACGCCTATATATTAATTCCCTAAAAATATTAGCGTAGTTATAAACTTTATAAAAGGGAAAGTTAAAAAAGTAAAAATTTTAAAAAAAATAGTTTATTAAGATAGTAAGAGTATTTATTAATACTATATATTAATACTATATAACCGATATTAAGAATCGCCCGAGTAGCTAGTAAAGGTAGAATATTAAAATAAATAAAAATATTAGCGGGCTTTTAATTATATTTATAAATTATTATAATTCTTTTATTTTACCTATTTATCTATTTTATTTACTTATTATTTACGTTATAATATATTTAATTTCATTCTTTTTCTTTTAAAAATATTATCATATTACTATATAACTTTCTTTTATTAAAATTTACTTATTTAATAAACATTTTCAAAATCTTTAATTATTTTAAAGACTTTTAAACCCCGAAATATTTTAAAGTTAAGATTTTAAATAAGACCGATATTAACTTATTAAAGCCTTACCCTTAAGCTATATAGAACTTTTTATCGGAATCGACTTTACCTAAAGTCGGTAATTAGGCTTTATTAAATATACTAGAAAATCACTCGTTAATATTCTAGTCGCTAGGTGAATAAGCTCAGGCAGAAAATTCCCACGTCAAGGTATTTAAAATTTCTTAAGATCAAATATACTCTTCATATATTTTATAGGAAATAATCGTCGATTAAGTAGTACAAAGTATTTAGGTCTAGACGTCCTAACGTAACACGTACTCAATATTCTTTAACTAAGTTAAAGTATAACGTAAAGGTAATGCCTAAAGAAGTTCTAAAAGTTTAAGCATTTACTTTAGCATAGAAATTGAAAATCCTGCTCTCAAATATCCGAAGCTTTTTATCTCCCTTATCAAAACAGGTTCGTCCATCTAGTTAATTAGCGAGACGGACCCCTTTAGAACCTTAAATAAATCTTTTTTTCGCTTAACGCCATAAGGTTCGTATCTCGCAGAAGAGTGCGTTATATTACAATACAATAATCGCTAAAATTTCAACACACCCATTCAAGCTTCCGTTATCGACTAGACTAGACGAGAGGTATATTATACCTCCATTACGCGGCGGAACAACAAGCTTAAACTACTAATACGCCGAGACCCCTTCTTAACGTTTATCTTCGCTCCAGATATCTTTTTACCAATACTCTCGCGGAGCCGCTTTATCGCAATAAAGCTTTTCTCACTCTCAAGCCTTCTTTTTGCAACTGTTGTGCTTCGGCCTGTTTTTTATAAAGTAAGTGTCAACTTCCCTAAGACATGACGAACACCTTAGGGAAAAGTACCCGTGCTTACGAATTGTCTTTTGCAGCTTGCGGTATGCAACCATAATGATGTGGAAGCTTCGAAGTTACTATAAGACTCACTATCTACTTAGGGCCATAGCGCGTACGATGTCACGGAAGATGGAAATAAATATTCCGTCTTTACCAATAGTTACGAGAGAGGTCGGATCGCTGTGACTAGGGTCATCATCAAGAAGCCAAAGACACTCGAGATCAAGACGGCATATAACGGCAAGGATACGACCAACTCGAAACTACACCTTAATCAAATTCTGATGGCGCTGTGGACGGAAAAGGGAGGTTTACGAGCTTCGTCTTTAAAACGCGTCAAGTTTCTTGAGGTGGCAAACGACAGTGTCAAGGCTGCCATACAAGCAGCTCGACAAGAATTAGAACTAGAGGATGTTAATAACTTCGAGTTGGACGTAGAAGACGCCAATGAGGATCTCTTGTCTAATTTCCGAAACTCTATGTTTAGTAAGGTCGTCGCCAGATTGTGTGAGGCTTCTGGGCATACACCGGAGTCTATTTCAATTAAGCACACGGCTGGCTAGGACGATATCACCTAGGATCTCGCGTAAGACTCGCCGGCTACCAGTTCTCAGACATTTTCTTTCACTAGTGGCACCTATTCATCATAGACTTTGAGGTCTTAAGTCAACAGTGAATAAATAATAGCTAAGATGCCAGCATCAATAATTTCCAACCGGCATTCAGATATTAACAGAAGCACCCTTATTCTCAAGCCAACCACATCCGTCTATAGCAATACTCAGTAATAACACAGAACTTTCTTTTCCTGTTTTCCTACCAACTACGTCTAACTACCTTCCATAATTTAAAACCTCCAGTCGACTAGCTTCTATTATGATCAAGGTAGGTATATCATATAAAGCATCAACGCAGCCGAGAACTTAGTAAAAGATATTGAACGCAGTTTTATACTTGCCTACGATTGCTCTTAACGTAGTATACAAGTAAAAGGGCCGTTTTCATAGCTTAACTACCGTACAGATTCATAAATCTTCGAACTATGCAATTAAACAGTCTTATCTATGCCATCTTCCGGTGCCAATTATTCTAAATAACGGCAGTCCGAGGGCTTTTGAATAGGCTCGGAGAAGGGCTAATAAAAGCTACCAAAGTTACATTACAGCTTCATACATTCGTTTATCTCGCGGGCGGACCCCAAAACGGACTACGTAGTAGTTTAGCTTAAAAAGTCCCCTCGTAAGTCAGATCACCTCATGTCTCGGTAATCGCTTCAGAATAAACTCCAAAAGAAAGAAAGTTCGATATATTACAGCACATAATCGTTCAAAGTGTTTAAAAAGAAATAGGACCAGTCTCAGATC